AACCCTAGGCCTGAAACCCTAAACCCTAGACCCTGAACCCTAAACCCCTAAACCAAAAACCCTAGGCCTGAAACCCTAAACCCTAGACCCTAAACCCTAAACCCTAAACCCAAAACCCTAGGCCTGAAACCCTAAACCCTAGACCCTAAACCCTAAACCCTAAACCCTAAACCCTAAACCCTTAACCCTTAACCCTTAACCCTTAAACCCTCAGCCCCAAGCTCTGCCCTCTACTCGGAGCTCTGAGGCCGAACAGGGGCTCCAGGATGCAAACGATGAGCCAAGAGTCTCAGGTCGGATGTTGAGGGCTCTTCAAAGGGGTTTAGGGTTTAGGGTTTGGAATTTAGGGTTTAGGGTTGAGGGTTTCGAGTTTAGGGTTCAGGGTTGAGAGTTTAGGGTTTAGGTTTTAGAGTTGAGGATTTAGGGTTTAGGGAGGATCCGTAGAGGGCCTTAGAAGGGGTCATTAAGGGCTCACAGACCCTTCCTCAAGGGCCTGAAACAACGGTGCTCTAAGGACACTGTGCGAGTTCTTCAAGGGCTTCATAAGGGGGTGTTAAGGGCTCTACAAGGGTCCTTTAAGGGCTCCAGAAGTGACCTTAAAAGGGGCTTTAGAGGTGAATGTCTGACTGGGAGGTTCCCTCTGGGATTTTTCAGGAGTTTGGGCTTCACGGGTTCAGGGTTTGGGGTTTCAGGGTTCAGGGTCTCAAGGCCTTTGGGGTTTTGGGGGGGTTCACGGTCTTCGAGTTTAGGAGGTGGGAGTGCAAGTTTCCGAGTTCCACGGCGCCTGCTCTCAGGGGCAGACGATGTTAAGTCAAGTAAACCCTAAACCCGAAACCCTAAACCCTAACGAGTTTTTCTCCCTGACGCCGGACGTTTGAATCCTGAACCTGACTGTAGCTGGATTCTGGATCGCCTTCCCCGAACCCTAAACCCCGAACCCTCCTAAACCCTATACCCCGAACCCCTAGAACCTATAATTTCCCGAAGCCCTGAACCTTAGGCCCTCAGCCGCCAAAAAGGTGCCTCCGACCCCCGGCTCCCCGTTTTTCAACACCGGAACGCAGGCCCCCAAAAGGATCTAAAAAATAGATCCCCTAATTAGGGACCCTAACTACTAAAGGGTACTTTATAGGAACCCCCTTAGGGGATCTATTTTTTAGATCCTTTTGGTGGTCTGGGAACGCAGGCGCAGATCCTGAAGTCCCATTCGAACCTCTCGCCAGTCGTGGATGCGGACCAGCAGAACCGGAGCATGAGGCGATAGAGATGCACGAGAATTACATTAGGTTCTTAAACCAATAATAATGCTGGCTATTAGTACTGCTTGTTTTAGGTTCTTAACCCAATAATAATGCTGGTTATTAGTAATTACATTAGGTTCTTAAACCAATAATAATGCTGGTTATTAGTACATTAGGTTCTTAAACCAATAATAATGCTGGTTATTAGAATTACATTAGGTTCTTAAACCAATAATAATGCTGGTTATTAGTACATTAGGTTCTTAAACCAATAATAATGCTGGTTATTAGTACTGCTTGTTTTACTTCTGCTAGTACTCTCGTTACTAAATCGGTGCCCAGAGGCGCAAGAGATTGAGCGGCACCTGGAATCGCCATCTGACCCCAAGGCGAAAGCCTTGTACCCCAGACTCGAAACTCGGGGCTTAGACAGCACTTCGGCCGATAGCGCACGATTTACACGATTTAGGGCAGGTACCTTTGATGGAGAAGCCTCATCCCTGTGCGTTCTGTGTGGTGAATGGCGGTCGTATGGTGCCCCGTCAGCCAACCTACACAACAGCACCCGAAATCCAGAACTTTCAGCCTAAGTGTTCAAGCCTTGGTCGTAGCTGAGCTCCAGCGAAAGTCCCAAACGGCCTTAACGGTCTTTCTTGGGTGTGCCTTCGGAATCGCTGTTTCGGTTTGTTACAACACGAAACATGAATCCTTCAGGCTTATAAATCAAAGGATGATAGAGTGCTAGGGCTCCTTTTGGGTGTTTACATGGTTCTTATGGGCCTCTTAAAGCGTTCCTTACAGGGTTGTCTATCTGACGTACTCCTGCATCTATGCACCTAGGGTAAGTTGAGTCGGCCAGCAAGAGAGGCTTCGAACCCTTGCTGTTGCTTTTTATTTTGATGCGGGAGCTCTTAAAGGGCTCTAGGGCACCGTGTGATATTCCTTGCAGGGTTTCAGGGTACTTTATGGTATTTTCTAGCAGTTTGGGGATGTCTTTGCCGTTGAGGCATTGGGACTGATCCGATTCCCACAGCTTGAAGCAATCCCCGCCAGAGCCCGCTACAAAAGCTTCATCACCTTCGGGGTTTGGAGTTTTGGGGGTTTAGAAAGCACCTGAAGTCCAAACCCCTTCACGTCTCCTTTCTCTTAGCCAAATCTTCACCCTAAACCCTAAACTCTAAACCCTAAACCCTAAACCCTTAACCCTAAACCCTAAACCCTAAATCCGTAAGCTTGGGTTGGAGCCGACTGTATGCCGGACATCCAAAAAGGCCCTCAAAAAAGAACCGTAAGCTTCTCCGAGCCGCGCCTTGGAGGTTGCTGGCCGACTATCCATGGCTCCTTTACCTCTTGATCTTGATCCCCACGCTGGCCCAGCTCGTGACCATGCCACCGGTCTGGAAGTTCCGAACTCTACGAGGTCTCTGCAACTTTTTATGGGATTTGAAAATGTTGATGGGCTGTGAAAGTTATTATTTGATGATTCCGGACAAGGTTACTCTCAAGCTTGCTGGTTGGGACGTGCAGGCCTCTTCATCTCCTCCAGAGAAGTCTACATAGGTTCCATGTCCGTATGTCCCTGATTAGCAGTAGCTGCTGCGGTAGCGGTGGCGATTGCGACAGCGCTGTCACTGGCGCCGACCGACGACGGCATCAGCGAACATGGCGACGACGGTGAGCATCTTCATCACCAGCATCGCTACCATCATCACCACTACCCTCACAATCACCATCAACACCATCACCATCACTATCAACACCATTACCATCACCACCAACACCATCACCATCACCATCAACACCACCACCATCACCATCAGCACCAGCACCAGCAGCATCACCAGCACCATCAGCAGCAGCAGCAGCAGCAGCACCACCACCACCACCACCACCACCACCACCACCACCACCACAACCTCCACCACCACGACCAGCACCAGCACCGGCACCGGCACAGGCACAGGCACTAGCACCATAGTACCAATAATCATCATCATCAACATCATCGTCATCATCATCAACATCAGCATCATCACCATCATCATCCTTCGTCGTCATCATGATTAGTGGTAGTGCTCGATGCACTGGAACTTCGCTTGTCCAGGTTAGTCCTGGCTACAACCGGGATAACTCGCACAGCAACGTATAGCTTGAACTTGGCCGCTTCTTCAGCACAAAGGTTTCGACTTAGGCTTAGTGCTGTTTGCTTTGGGTCGCTCACGGGATATCGAAGTCTCTTCATGGTCTGTCTCTTTTGCTGCAGATTCCCGAACATTGGTTTCGAAGTTCAAGGCAGTGAGTAACTGTTTCAGGGCACTGGGCCCTTGGCCCCTTAAGCCTGAACCCAAGGGTCGGGTTTTACTACCGCCTGGCCACTTCCAGTTGGAGCTCAACGCTTTCCTTGAGCAAAGAACACCACCAATCCCAAACCCCAAACCCTCAGCCCCCCGAAAACACGGACCCAAGCTGAGGTCTGCAATTCCCTCTACGCCTGCCTCGCTGTGGGTTCCGTTTTCCTTCTTGGGAAGGTGAGCAGCAGGATGGTGAAGGGCTATAGGGCTTTAGGTTTCAGGGTGTTTATGGCCGTGGGGCTCATGACGGCCAGAGGGTTTAGCTCTAAAGCCTCTATAGTACCCTTAAAGGAAGCCTAGGATCCCTATAGCACCCTTTAAAGGGACCCTAAACCCTAAACCCTAAAGGAACCCCTTTAAGGGTTAGCTCTAAACCCTGAATTCCCCCCAAAAATGCTTCCACGGGCCCCAGGGCCCCAAGTGAGTGTACCTTTCCATGTGCTCCGAACCTGATTTTGGTCTCTGGGTTTCTAAGGCATGACCGTATGACAGCAGTGAAAAAGTATGAGAACTAAATTTCGGTGGAAGTCGCATTCATGGCAAAAGCGCAGTCGTTGTTCTTGTTGTCGTCGCCGTCGTCGTCTTTTGTGGCAGTCCTGGTCGTTGTCGTTGTCCTTGTTTATGCCGGAACTTGCAAGTGCAGCAAGGTTTCGTTTATCCAGCCGCCGGACGACGAAATCGAGGGCTCTCAAATTTAGGGCCATGAAGACCACCACCCCAAAACCCCAAACTCGAATCCCTGAACCCTAAACCCTAATGGTACCCATGCGTTGTCCTTTGCATTACCAAGACCCGAAACCATTGAAATTCTTTACGGTGCTTGTCTTGAGCCTTTGAGCTTGGCCACTGAACCCTTTAACTCCCGAATCCTCAACCCAACAAGCCCCCACAACACCAAAACACATCAACGGAAAACACCCAACGCTTTTTCGAAACCCTTACACACAACAACCCCTAATTCCCGAATCCCTGAACCCTAAAAGAGCCCTACGAAACCCTAAACCCTCTTTGGCCCCTCGGTGGCCCTTCGGGAGCCAGGCATGGGATCCTTGCTTATGTTGAGATGGGAGCAGGGGTAAGCAGAAGCTCAAAAACCAACCCCAAGCCCTGAACCCTAAACGCAAAATGGCACCCTCCCTAAACCCCAAGCCCTAAAACAAAACAAAAAAGCCCTTACAGGTACCCTCAAAGGAGCCCTTTAAAAAACCCTTACAGGTACCCTTCAAGGAGCCCTTTAAGACACCCTTACAGGTACCCTTAAAGGAGCCCTTGAAAAACCCTTACAGGTACCCTTAAAGGAGCCCTTCCTAAACCCTAAACCCGAAACCCTAAACCCTAAACCCTCGACCCTAAACCCTTTACCCTTTAAAAACCCCGCAACGCCGGAGGCGCTGCGATCCTCGGACTTTCACCTGGCCACCAGCAGGCGCTTGGGGCCTAGGGTTGCTCCCTAAACCACAAGCCCTTGTTGTTGAGAATTTAGTTTAAGCCCTTAGAATAAGAATTTAGTTTACGTTACCATACCAGGGATCTGTAGTAATTAATACGGTTTCTTTTTTTGTGGAAGCTTAAATTAGGTTCGTTAGCAAGCGCTACTTCAAAGGTATCGTTAGTACAATTCTTACTACTATTGTTTGTTATTACGATTATTAGCACAATTGACATTGTTACTCTTGTCACCATGGGGTCATTGTTATTACAACTGTTACCAGTACTTTCATTATGATTATGATTACTATTAGTCTTTTTGTTATTGTATATATCACTGTTGCGACAGTGATTGATATCTATACATTGCTATTACTAGCTTTATGAATTATGATTGGTGTTTTATTGCCATTGCTGCCCTCCTACTACTACTACTACTACTACTACTACCACTACTACTACTACTACTACTACTACTACTACTACTACTACTACTAGGCGTACGTATCTTATTTGACGCTGTGTTTCTTGTTGATTTGACGCTGTGTTTCTTGTTGCGATTCACTAGTCTTACACTGCGTTTTGCCACATCTGAAGCAAAATTGGGGGAGCGTAATCCGCAGCAAAGTTGGGGTGAGTATTTCCTACGACCTACTTGCATGTCTTATGAGGGCCTTGCATTTCCTATGAGGGCCTTGCATTTCCTATGAGGGCCTTGCATTTCCTATGAGTGCATTTCCTATGAGGGCCTTGCATTTCCTATGAGGGCCTTGCGTTTCCAGGAGGGCCTTGGAATATTTTTTCAGTCTTTATTTTTGGCTTGGCTTGGCTTGTGGGGGGGTGGGGGGGTTGGGGGGGGATCTTGGCTGCGGGATTGTTTTTTTTGAGATGAGTCTTGGGGTCGAGGGTTCTGAGTTCGGGTGTTGCGGCCTTGCATGAATATTTTTTGGGATGGGGTTTGGGGTTCAGGTTTCTGAACTGAGTGGTTTTGGCCTTTGGGCTTGCATGTTTTTTTGGGGGAGATAAGGTTTAGGGTTCAGGGATCTGACTTCAGCGGTTTTGGCTTTTGGCCTTGCGTGATGTTTGTTTCGGGATGAGGTTTGCGCCTTAGGAGTATGAGTAGATGGGTTTTGGGCTTGCATGGGTTCTGTTTTGGGAAGACGTTTCGGGATAAGGTTTGGGGCCTAGGGTTTTGACTTAGCTGGCTTGCTTTCGTCACAGTTTGGAGCCCAGGGTCTTGACTACCCAGGGAACTTCTTGGGATATAGAGTTAAGGTTTAGGCGGCGTAGCGTTTTTGAAATGACTGCGGTTACGTGCCCAATGTAGTGACGCTCGTCAAACGACTTTCCAGAAAACGAAGTTGGTTTGGGCTGAAGGGTGGCGGGTTCAGGGTAGACCCTGACCTTAAGGAAGACGAACCTAGAACAAGCCCTACGCTAGAGATTCCCGGTCTCTAGCAAGAGACCCTTACTAGGTCCTGGTCACAAGCAACATCGCTGATTCTTGGAAAGCGATCACACACAAACCCAACACAAGTGGTTTTACGCTCCCCCTTTTCTGGCTTCTGTGCCCATGCGAACATGTCAAAAAAGCTTGAAATCACTGCGCTGGCCACACATTCTGAAGGACTCCATTTACACCACCTGCAAAAACATGCAGCGTCAAATAAAGGACGTGGGCCTACTACTACTACTACTACTACTACTACTACTACTATTACTACTACTATTACTAACTACGAACTACTAACTTCTAACTACTACTACTACTACTACTACTACTACTACTGCTACTACTACTACTGCTAATTACTACTACTACTACTACTACTACTACTACTACTACTACTGCTACTGCTACTGCTACTACTACTACTGCTGCTACTACTACTACTACTACTACTACTACTGCTACTGCTGTTACTACTGCTACTACTACTACTACTACTACTACTACTACGACTCCTCCTCCTCCTGCTGCTGCTGGTGCCACAAAGACTACAGTTGTTGTGAGTCCTGTTTGACGGTTGTGCCTTTCGATGAGATAACTAGAAGTGTTTCTGTCGCTGCTGATGCCCGCCTTTGTGTTTCTCATGTTGATTGCCAAAGCGACGATGCTAAGGATGACAAGAATGGTGGATATGATGACGATGATGCTGATTTTTCTTTAGCAAGAGGCTTCACCTCTTCGTGGCAGACTTCAAGCTGCGGTGGAGCGAGGTGTCAGGCCAGCAGCCCATGGGTCTTGGGGTTTTGGGAGAGTTGGCTGGGTCTCAGACGCAACTTCACATACTTAGGTATCATGGCACTATGGTCATTCTGGGCAGAATCTCTGGCAGTACCATGGTTGGTCTTTGTGTTGGCATGACTGCTATGACCATTACTGCCATCAACAGTACTATCAATTCACAAGCCTTCAGCCATAACCCTTAACTCTCAACCCCCAGAAACTAAATATACACCTAGAAGGAGTTCCGTGTCGTGGTGAGCCCTGCCAACTTCCCAACCCCGCGATCCAGCGGGACATTATTCGACACAGCGTTGCCCCTGTCAGGTGCCTGTGTATGCTAAGGTTTCATGATTTTAGTCACGCCAAACCCCTCAAAACCCAAACCCTAAACCCTAAACCCTAAACGCTAAACCCTGAAGCCCAAAGCCCAAAACCCTGAAACCCAAAACCCCAAACCCCAAACCGAGTACGCTACACTCGAAGCCCCAAGAAGTGTCCTTTGCAGGCCAGGAATGGCGAAAGTATGCGCTCGCCTGGCAGCGCGGCTGAAACTCCGGGGAGCTTGAAAGCTAGCGTTTTAGGGTTTTGGGTTTGAGGCTTTAGAACTTATGATTTAGGGTTTTGGGTTTAAGGGTTTAGAGCTTAGGATTTAGGGTTTTGGGTTTGAGGGTTTTAGAACTTGGGATTTAGGGTTTTGGGTTCGAGGGTTTAGGGCTTAGTCAGGGTTTAGGGTTTTGGGTTTGAGGGTTTGAGGGCCGAGGGCTTTGGTTTTAGGGTTTAAGGGAAGGACACGGCGAGAAAGAACCATGCTCAGAGCCGGATTTAGACGTTTTGGGTTGTGATCAACAACAGCAACAACAACAGTATAATGTCAGGGTCTTAATAATTAGAATAGGGTTTTGGGGTCCTTCATAGTGTAATTTGATTATTGAGGGCCCTATATTATGTAGAGTACTCGGCAGCAATAAGATTCTGCTCGTGGTGATGATCAAGTTCGCTGTGCAATCGCCATGGTAAAAAGCACCTGGGGCAATGTAGAAAACATAGTATGTTCTATTCACGTTCATATCTGCAATAGTGATAACTCTGATAACGGATCTGACCCCAGAGCCTTTCCCCAAAACCCAATGCCCGGCTAAGAATTTTTGGGGATGGTAGCGTACTGACTGCAGATTTCCAGCGAAGATAGTTCCCTGAGGTGTAGGTTGTGAAGGAAGTCATGGTCCCCTTGAAGGATGGCTTATCTCGAGGTTCACCACTCGAACCTAGACAACAAGCGCACTAAACCCTAAACCCTAAACCCTAACCCTAAACCCTAAACCCTAAACGAACCCGGAACCCCAAAACCCCAAACCCGACAGCAAAAGAGCAGCTTCTGAGGTGCGTCATGGTGCTGTTCGCACTGGTGAGCCAGATTCTTCAAGCATGGATCGTCGAGGCGGATAGCAGCGTCGCGGAAGATTCCACGAAGGCATGCGGGACTTTCTGCATGTTGGGATATTGGGTTCAGCTTTTCCTGAGGTCTATGTTTGGGATGAAGTCTTCTTAGGACCCTACACGAAGCACCAATTCAGAGGAGCTTGGCACCTAAACCCACCCGACCCGACGTTGGCTGCTTCTCCATCAGGTTGTCAAGCACGTCATCGAAGGACTGTCTTTTGTGAGCTTTGCCACCTCCAGCGCCGTCGTAATGTTGGTCTCCTGGCTGGTATTGGGGAGTGGACTCCCGATCCTGGAGTGTATCGTTTGAGTTCTCAGAGCATGCGAGGATGTCCGACTCCTGCGATGCTTCCTCGGAAAGTCCCAATGGCGCAGTTTCCTTTACTTACAACACAAAGAGTCTTAGCCCAAAGCCATGGCACAAAAGCCAACTGTTGCACACCGGGATACTCTCTGGGTTGTCCGAAGTCCCTCAACTGTTAACATCACGAGGCTAGGCCTTAACACATTTGAGACTCCGGAACCCGAAATTTTCGCGGAACCCGGAGTCCTCCTCAACTCACAGATCCGGAACTTGGGAGCAGAAAACCACAAAACGCCCAAGCCCTTGCAGTCTCGAAGCTTCCCGCTCTTGAAGAAGCAAAGGCCGCTTATCTCCAATCTCACCTCCTCCTGGGCCTGGACAAGAGCTTAGACTGCTGGTGCTGCCAGGTCGTGCGCCTTTGCCTTCAGAGATTCCCCCTTTGGGATCCAGGTTGTATTCCTTCGACGATTGGCTTTTGGGAATTTAACGTTTCTCACCGACTGGGCGGATAGCCTAATGCTTGGATTTCGATGACCTCGGCCTCTTCTGTTTTGATTGCGTCCGCAGCTTCTTTCGATGGGCTTTTCCATATCGTTCCGGGGTTTTGGTTTCTTGTGCAGCTTCCATCCTCCTGTTCACTGCTTCCCATCCATGGCCACAGGGCTTTATCAGGTCAGGTGCTCAAGCAGCTAGGCAAACCCTAAACCCTAAACCCTAAACCCTAAACCCTAAACCCTAAACCCTAAGCCCCAAGCCCCGAGCCCCGAGCCCCAAGCCCTAAGCCCAGTCTGACGAGTCGTTGCAACCGTTGCAACCATGAGGAACTCCATGGACTTTGCCCCTGCAGTCCAGAGCTGGAACGCCATGCAGGCACCTATAACTGGGCGCTGCTTTCGGACATTTTT